ATGAAGTTACCAATAAGACGGGATAATAAAGAAGATGGGAAGGATAATAGTTATTTTTTCTGCAGTCCTATCTGTTGGAGTCTGCATTTATTTATTTATTTATTTATTTACAAATATTTATATGCCACCCAATCCCAAAGGACTCAGGGCGGCGTACAAAATTAAAAACAGTCATAAAACAATAAAATAAAATAATCCAGTCATACCGCGAGTCCGATCATATCCCGGCCCGCCGAGGACATCAGCCCCAGGCCTGCCGGAACAGGAGAGTTTTAACGGCTTTCTTAAAGGCCGGCAGGGTGGGAGTAGTTCGAACCTCGGGGGGAAGTTGATTCCACCAGGTCGGAGCCACCACAGAAAAGGCCCTTCCCCGAGGGCCCGCCAGCCGACATTGTCTGGCCGACGGGACCTGAAGGAGGCCCAATCTATGGGACCTCACCGGTCTCTGGGAGCTGTGCGGCAGAATGCGGTCCTGTAAGTAACCTGGCCCTATGCCATGAAGGGCTTTGAAGGTGATGACCAACACCTTGAATTGCGTCCGGAGACCCACAGGAAGCCAGTGCAGCTCGCGGAGGATAGGTGACACATGGGTGTACCTTGGCGCGCCCACAATCGCTCTCGCGGCTGCATTCTGAACCAACTGCAGCCTCCGAACGCCCTTCAAGGGTAGCCCCATGTAGAGCGCATTACAGTAATCCAGTCTTGAGGTGACAAGGGCATGAGTGACTGTGAGTAAAGCCTCCCGGTCCAAATAAGGCCGCAACTGGTGCACTAGGCGAACCTGTGCAAAGGTCCCCCTGGCCACAGCCGATAGATGTTGTTCCAAATTTAGCTGTGAGTCCAGGAGGACACCCAAGTTGCGTGCCTGCACTGAGGGAGGTAAATTTGCCCCCCCCAGGACTAAAGATGGACCATCCAGTTGACCTTTGGGAGGCAAGACCCAGAGCCACTCGGTTCTTGTCAGGGTTGAGTCTAAGCCTGTTCACCCCCATCCAGACCCTCACATCTTCCAGGCACCGGCACATCACGTCGACTGCTTCACTGAAAGGACACGGGGTGGAGATATACAATTGGGTATCATCCGCGTACTGATGATACCTCACCCCGTGTCGCCGAATGATCTCACCCAGCGGTTTCATGTAGATGTTAAAAAGGAGGGGGGACAGGACCGAGCCCTGAGGCACCCCATAATCGAGGCGCCTAGGGGTCGATCTCTGTCCACCCGCCAACACCGACTGCGACCTGTCAGAGAGGTAGGAGGAGAACCACCGCAATACGGTGCCGCCCACCCCCACCTCTCCGAGAAGACGCAGAAGGATACCATGGTCGATGGTATCGAAAGCCGCTGAGAGGTCAAGAAGCACCAGGATAGAGGAATAACCCCTATCCCGGGCTCGCCAGAGGTCATCGGTCAGTGCGACCAAAGCAGTCTCAGTGCTGTAGCCGGGCCTGAAACCAGATTGAAAAAGGTCCAGATAATTGGTTTCATCCAAGGATCGCAAGAGTTGAGACGCCACCACCTTCTCTACAACCTTCCCCACAAAGGGGAGGTTGGAGACGGGACGAAAGTTCTTCAAAACAGCTGGGTCCAGGGAAGGCTTCTTGAGGAGGGGCCTCACCACTGCTTCCTTTAAAGGTTGCGGGAAAGACCCCTCCATCAAGGAGGCATTGATTATCGCCTGGAGCCAGCCTCGTGTCACCTCCCTACTGGCAGAAACCAGCCAGGAGGGGCACGGGTCCAATAAACAGGTGGCGGCATTCATTGCCCTCACGGCCTTGTCCACTTCATCAGGGGTCACAGGCTCAAACTCGCTCCAGATAACATGACTAAGACCAGACCCTGGCAACTCGGCTGGCACTGCCCAGTCGGAGTCCAGGTCTCTCTGAATCTGAGCGATTTTGTCCGACAGAAACTGAACAAACTCCTCAGCTCTCCCCTGCAAGGGTTCCTCCGCCCCCTCCACTTTAAGAAGGGAGCGGGTCATCCTAAACAAGGCGGCCGGGCGAGATTCTGCGGACGCAATAAGTGCGGAAAAGTGAACACGCTTTGCCGCCCTTATCGCCACTAAATAAGTCCTAATATAGGCTCTTAATAGTGATCGGTCAGATTCAGAGTTACTGGCCCTCCAACGTCGCTCTAGATGTCTCTTGTGGTGCTTCATCTCCCGGAGCTCCTCAGTAAACCAAGGGGCCCTCCGGGGACCACCACCACAGAGAGGTCGCAAAGGCGCAATTCGATCCAGGGCCCCGGACGCCGCCTCATTCCATGCCGCAACCAGGGACCCGGACGAGTTGTGGACAAGGGAGTCAGGTATTTCCCCAAGCTCCTCCTGGAACCGATCTGGGTCCATTAGGCGCCTGGGGCGGAACCACCTAGTCGGGTCCCTCTCCCTGCGATGGGGGAGTGATGCTCTGAAGTCCAGCCTCAATAGGAAATGATCTGTCCATGACAAGGGCGAGATCTCTATTCCCCTTAATTCCAGATCATTCTCCATTGCCCCGAGAGAAACACAAGGTCGAGTGTGTGACCACCCCTATGAGTTGGATCCTGAATTACCTTGGTCAGGTCCATGGTTGCCATGGAAGCCATGAACTCCTGCGCCGCCTCTGAGTGATTGCCGAGTGATGGCAGGTTAAAGTCCCCCAGTACTATAAGTCTGGGGAACTCCACCGCCAACCCGGCTACTGACTCCAGCAACGCAGGCAGGGCTGTTGCAACGCAGCTGGGAGGTAGGTACGTCAGCAGCAAGCCCAACTGAACCCGCGAACCCAACTTCAATAGGAGGGACTCACACCCAACAACCTCCGGGGCAGGAATCCCACGAGGACTCAAGGACTTCCGAGCGATGACTGCCACTTGTTTGGTTGCTGTGCCAAACCAGACAGTTATAGAAGTACAAATGACAGACTCAATAATTCCTCTGTAATGTACATGGTATGGCCATGAACTTTTCTCGTCAGTAAGACATTGTCATTATTTTCTTCCAGCATCTTTTTGGCTTCCTTTGGTCCAAGTATGAATCGTGTTGGATCCTTTTTGAGGTCAACCAAGGGCAGCTAATGCTGCCATACATTGGAACTAATATCTCACACAACCACTGATTTGGAACTGTCCCAACTCTCGTGTCAGAGCTTCACCAAGGTCACTGTAGTAAATCTCTATCTGGAAACACAGCCAGCATTCAGGAACAAATAGAAGAGTCAAAGTAAGATTCAGCTAAAAAAGAAGATCAGCTACTGCAAAATCGGTTAGGTCCTCTGTTAATAATACCCCTACAATTAAAGCTTTTCCCCATTTTTAGGTGGTGATGTAGTCCTTGGACGTGTTTCTGAAGCTTGGATGTGAGCACAAAAGCATAGTGCCTGGTCTCATATTTTTTGCTTTTGGTCTTACCAACAAGTCACAGTCTCTCATCTCTCCATCTCAATCTTTCAAGACAGGCAAGGTTAAGAAAGAGAAGCAGCAAGATTCCAGGTATATCCTTTATTGTTGTAGGATAGGCTTATTTTGAGTTTCTTTCTCATGCTTTCAATTTTCTGAAGACTGAGTTGTCGTTTCTCCTTCTTTAACATTTCATTACTATCATCCTTGTCCAAAGATATACATTCTTTCACACTGTGCTAAGTGGATGAGGACCCTTTCAGAATGACTAAAGATCTATTTTTCAATACCCTATCAGCTTATTTTACCTTCATTCCTCTGGTCAAGTAAGAGCTGAACATCCCCAGCAATTTTAACAGTTACAGGTGCTGATGCATTCCGTCCCTTTTAAAGGAATGAGACCTAGCCTACAAAATGCAAAGGTTTTTTTTTACCAATCAAATCAACATTACTCTCCTATTTTACAGACTTGATGATGTCATGCTGCCTTTTTATTGCATCTTGCTCTTGGCAGCATAATATTCTACTCTGAACCACTACCATGTTCTTTTTTTCCCCCTCCATCCATGCCATTTTAATCACTGAGAGTAACTAGCGCAGCAGTTTTTATAGTGCTAGTTCAGCAGTTGTTGATTTTCAAATTTCTTCTGCACTAAGCAAAGAATAGTACCTGTGTGGGCATTTGTATTCTAATTGCAACAAGATAACTGTATTGTATGCTTCTCTTAAGAAACCTGATAATGGTGAGAAGACTGATAATGAATAAAGATAGTGCTAAAATTTGGCTGCTGCTACAAATCAAAGCATTCAACTGAAAAATAGACAAGTAATGAGAATTTGATGCACTTCCTTTTTTTCTCTCTCCGTTTCATAACCTACCGCTGAACATTGTTTGTACTATTTCCAATTATTATTTCTATTTGTGCTAGATTTCTGCACATCAGAAATCTTGTTTTTATTGCATCTAAGCCTGTTGCAATAGCAGCAGCTGTTTGATCTTCAGCATACTGAATAATCAGCTACTCTACTCACTAAAACCTCCTAAGTGGGCTATTGCTGTAAGAGCAGTGGCAAAAACCTTTTTTCCAGCCTGTCCAGATAAATGTGTAATTTCAGGAGTAATGCACAGGAGATAAACGCACACAAATACACCCCCCCCACTCCATTACAAGAAGATATATTCCCTTATTTAAAGGAGGCTATAGTATTCTGTTCACAAACTTATACTATTCTTGCTAGTTTATACCATGCTTGCAAATCTCAACAATGCACAGTATTTCCTAGTTAAAGAGGGAACTAATACAGAACTAACCATTTGTGTAGCTTTCTATTATAAAAAGAGAGAGAAGGTGTTTCTGGCAGTATGACTTAGTAGGATGGTTATAGGAATTTCCTTCCTAAAATTCCAAATCATTTCTCTATTATTTAGGGTGATATAATGATGGTGGATCCTCATGGATGAAAGCAACTGTGTTATCTTACCAGCTCCAGAAGAGCAAAATGCAGAACACAGAATTAAAAGCAAATATATAGTAACTCATACTTTGGTAGGAGCAATTAGCTTTCCTGCCTACTTCCGGGACTGAAAGTAGGCATTCTGGTTGCCTAGAGACAAAAATAAACAAAAGGAGTTTAGTAACAGTGCTGGGTGCTATGGAATCTATCTGCTGCCTTTCATGATTAAGAGAAAAAAACCAATCGTTTCTTTTCTGAATTTCAGCCAGGATGAAGTATGGTAGCTCCTCTGCTAAAGGTTCCAACAGGTATTGCTCATTTTTAATAACATTTTAACAGCTTCCTAGCAATCCAGAAGAATACAAGAGTGGACATTCATCTTAGATTCAGTTGAAATATAAAGGGCTTTTTTCCAGCTTTGATTTAGGATTTTCTGGGACTGAGAGTATTATTGTGACTGATTTATAGCTTTCTACAAAACTAAATATTAAAATCAAAATACAATCTCATTTCTCTTTTCTAATAGGATTGCTGATATAGGATGCCTTCAGAGACCTTGAAATACTACAGTAATCTGTAGAAGTGATTATAATTGAAATAGGCTACTGAATGCCAAAGCTATGCTATGTTTGATGAAAGAGTATTAGAAAATCACGATACAAAATTCTATTCATTTGATTGTGTTTGAACTGCTTTTCCATTTGGTTTCATTATGTTAAATTACATTAATTGTATTTCTCAAAATTGTCTATATCAGTGGTTCCTAACCTTTTTTAACTAATCGCTCCCTTGAGCCAATGAGGAAGTTGTCATCGCCCCCCTCCCCCAACATAACCGCTCAATCACAACATAGGAAATAATTCTTCAATTTATGCAAACACTTTTTTTGTTTTCTTTAAAATTGTCATCAGGACATATCGATACAAATAATTTATTTCCAGTCTTTTTCCCATATCTCCCATATTCTGGCTAATGGCATGCCACTGTATGGGTAGAGGCTGCTGTGCAATGCGCATGAAGATAAGCGATGCGTATTCACATATGTACGGCGTTCTGTACTGAAGCTAGTTGGAGGGACATTTGAAAACACAATTCAATCCACTAATAGCAAGCGATTTGATGTTTTTGTACGACAGATATAAAGTCATTCACTGTACAAAAAAGTCTCAAAAGTGTCCCCAAAACTTCTCGCTCCGTCGCCCCCATATCGGCCCCTTTTCGTTCCATCGCCCCCCTGAAAAATGAAATCGCCCCCTGGGGGGCGATATCGCCCAGGTTAAGAACCACTGGTCTATATAACTGAACAAGGCAATTTATTTTATCTCAGGAAACTGGAATTTCAAGCTGCCTTTTAGCTGTTTTGAGCATGCGCCTCACAGAAGACTGCTGATGAAATACTGAATGAAGGCTTGACTGTATGTATATTTGGCTAACTTGTTGAAAATACATATTTTTAATTTTTTTGTAATTGTTTGCATCAATGGTATTGGAAATATAAATAATAAATTAGTATTATGATCTTAATCAATGCATTACAGAATTAAGACCTCATAACCGAAGATTATGGTCCATAATTTACTCTGCTATTTCAGTGCAGATTAGTAAATAGATATTTTCCAATTTTCCAATCGAGGACTAAGAGAAAGTGACTATACCAAATTTATGATGCTGGTTAACCACTAAATAGAAAGAGTTTGTCTCTGCAATAATATTTTAAGAACATAAATTCTACGGAAACAAGCAAACATCTAAAGCTTAGTTTCCCCTCCTTCAACATAAACAAGCCATTTCCAATACTAAAATGAAAATAAAGATACAAAAAAGCCCCCTTAAGAGATAAACATCAGTAAGAGATGTAAGAGAACCAGTTTTATGTAGCATGAAAGCCAGCTGGGTGACTTTGAGTCTGTCACTGTCTCAACTCAACCCCCCTCACAGGGTTGTTATTGTGGGAGAAATAGGAGACATAAATATTAGGTATGTTCATCTTCTTGAATTGCCCAAAATGTACATTAAAAAGGCAAGATAAAAATATAATAATAAGAACCAAATTGGTATCATGATTAAGTTGCTGGACAGGAACCTGAGAGTTCTAGACCATCTTTAGAGAGCCTGGGTGATCTTGGGCCAGTTATCTGATTAAAGCTCCACCATTTCTGAAAATCTTGTCAAGAAAACTTCAGGGATTAGTCCAGGCAATTGCCAGGAATCAACCGGCATAAAAGCCAAAATATGAATAAATGAATGAATAAAAGAAAGAAAGAAAAGTTCTCTTTGGATCCCACTGTGCTTCAATTCCTTGCATTCCTTATCACTGAATAAGCAAGTTATACCTTCTGGGAGTTACAGTATGGTGTCATTTGGAGGATCACAATTAAATACCACTATAATAGTATGTTTTACTAAGACAGGTTCCCAAATTTCGTCACAAGTCATAAAAATGGAATGTTAACTTCATGACATCACCAAGGAAACAACAATGCCAGTTTTAAGCATCTTTCAGAATTGGATAACAGTACGAAGTCTTCCAGAACTGGATAACAGTCATGTTTGCAGGAGTTGTTAGACTAATAGACATAGCTCTCTTTAGTCTCAGGTAAGATAGTTAAGTTGTCTCATGCTGTTCATGGGATTTTAAAGTTCTGCTATATATGATTGTCAAGTTTTCCAATGAGATTAATTAATTTGATATTTCTGTTATCAGTTTTGACATCACAAGCAATAAGTAGTCACTAGTAATCATTACTTTATATTAACATGAATAATCTGTATTTGTAGGCTCAGACCTGATTAGATGAATTCCAGTTATTACCTTACTTATAACTAACTACTAACATTGATTGTGTTCTACATAAATAGAACAAAAAGTGATTAATGACATTTACTACCTTAATAGGCTATGATGATTAGTTTAATGAATGTGAAATATGGTTTCCTTTTTTACAGATAATACTTCAAAGAAAAATGTCAACAGAGAACACTGCAGAGTTGACTAAATATCTTGAGAAGTAAGTGAACCATATTCTAGCCTTTCAATGATCACAAGTTATAAGTATTCTAAAAAAAAAGCAAAGTAGAAGAAAATTGGAAATATTCACTTTTTGTTAACTGTGAATTTTGATTAGCTAAACTATAATAATTTAAAAGCAGCAATTCTGACTTGCATTAATAAACCTTTCTTTAAACTAATCACAGTTGTGCTTTGCAAGTTGATTAGTCTAAACTAGAAAATATAAGTTTCCTATTTTCTCACAGCCATGATCAGTGAGAAAGGTTATATTTGGCCCAAGCCTCAAAAAAGTATATTCGTAAAGCATTAAATTATGTCCTAAGAGTAACCAGATTCCAAAATCAGTGTAATCTTCTTGTTCATTTGTTTGGATCTCTGAAGAGCTAGATTGGGCCACCAAACATCAGGAACATAATTTCTGCCATTTTGAGGCAAGAAACATAAAAACATAGTTTTGACAATAAAAAGCTTATAAACAAAATATTATTTAAGAATTGTGTTTGTACTACACTAATTCCCTTACCATATAGCTTTCTTATCATGGCAGTTAAGAGGCTTCATCTTTTTTCTTGAGAATGCTGTCCAAAGGTATAGGTTATTTAAGTAATTGTTCAAAGATAATATTTCCATTTCTTTGCATCTATTTAAGAACAAGTGTTAGTAACCAAGGTGATTCCTTTATCCATAACAAGATGTTTGTGGGGTGTGATGAAAAAAAGTCAAATGGCAACTTCCAGGTTTTTTATCAGTATTGCACTATTATGGCTGCCATTCTGACCAAACTTCATACATCTCAGCAGTAGAATCAGCTTCTTAGATTTTATCCAGATCACTTGCCCATTATTTATTTATCCAAACTATATTATGCTATTTATACTGCAATAAATGTTTTCATGAATTTGCTCCTATTTTAAGTAGTATATGAAAACTACTCTTCAATTTTATTTTAATTCTTTTTTGGACAAAAGTCTATCAGAGCAACTCAAATTTATAACAACAATAGCATTCCTTGTGATCTTGACAGTGTATTATATCCTAGCAGAAATAATTAGTTTACATCTTGAACACATGTAATTAACATATGGATTTCCACAAAATTTAGCCTTGAAAATGTCTGGTACAGAAAGGACTAATTGCATCTGTTTCAGATGCATCGTAGTGAATGCATGAGGGGGAAAATGAGCTAGCTAAGTAAAGTACAAACTGCAAATTAATGAATAAATAAATGGGTGCAAGGTTGTTGTAATCATTACATTGGTATTGATTTTAGAAGGTCAGAAAGCCTAAAATATTTATCCTTGACTGCAGAGACTCATACGGCCATTCCTTCCAATTGATGCTTCAGTATGTCTTTTAAAGAATGCAATTAATCCAATTAAGTATTAGTTTTAACTAATGAAGAGATTACATGTTTATGGGCAGCCCCACAGGTTGAGAACAAGTTCTGTTCCTAATTTTGTCTTTAGTTTGAATTTGTATGCAAGTCGGAATTTGTTTGTCTATGGAGATTCTCAATCATCCAGGTCATGGTTGTCCCAAAGGTGCTTTTTCCAAAAGGCCACTGGACTTTCTTGGGTCTTTTTTTTGAACTGAAGAAGCTTCTTGGGTGAGAAGCAAAACATTTTCAAAGTAAAAAACTAAGAAAGTCCAGTTGCCTTTCGGAAAAAGCACTTTTGAGTTGGAATTTATACTTACAAAGGGACAGCCTATTACTAAAATTGGCGGGCAGTGTTGTCCTTCCTCAAGCTTGAAACATTCATTAATGCTGAAGCTGTGCAGTCCTTTCAGGAACCACTGAAAATAGACTGTATATTAAACACATGCAGCCTCAGTAGAGGAAGAAAATGCTGCCCACAATAGGTAGCCCATTTGTATCTACCAATTGCCCTTAAGTCAGATGTACTTAACCCAGGGATTGCTTGTACTGAGTTTTCATTTGCATCTTGTGGACTTCAACTCCCAGAATTCCTCAGCCAGCCAACTTTAAGACTTGTGGGGCTTCAACTCCCAGAATTCTTCAGCCAGCCAACATTAAACCATGACTGGGGAAATCTGGGAGTTGAAGTCCAGAAGTCTTAAAGTTACCAAGTTTGGAGACCCCTGCAATGACAGTTCCCTTTTGCAGATGGTGAAGTAGAATCAGTGTTCATTTTCTTCAATCTTGCTGTGGCAGGAAAGTAACTCTGGGAAAGAGAGAGACATCTGTTGGGCAGTATTTCATTGCTACTGAGCCATGTTGTTTGGCCTCCCTGGATCTGCTTAGAATGAAGTATGAGCATTTTGGGTTAAGTCTCCTGGTGTATACTTTTAAATCTAGTGAATTTTCATTACTGTGTTAAATCACCCAAAGGGCATAAATAATGTGGTGGCATGGTGATGCAGTGGTTACAATGCAGTATTCATGCTGCACACAGACAGGAGTTTAATCCTGACCAGCTCAAGGTTGACTCAGCCTTTCACCCTTCCAAAGTCGGTAAAATGAGAATCCAGATTATTGAGGGAAATATGCTGACATTTATAAATCGGTCAGAAAGTGCTGTAAAGCACTATGGGGCAGTATATATATATCTAAGTGCTATTACTATTATCTGATTTAGAATCTGAATAGAGTAAACCTGAGTTAGAATTTGGATGGGGGAACACCTGAAAATTCCAGGGATGTTTGCTAGAATGGGAAGTTAAAAAAAAAATCATAAAGAAGATTGTAACAAGCTACTTTTCAAATGCTGCCAAACAAGCCACCCAGAATTGAGTACAACTTGAGTGCATCTTTTATCTTTTTATTGCAAAGCAATATTTACCTTTTTACCATTAGACACAGGGCACCAGGGGCATGCTGCAATTAAATCATTTAGTGTCTAGCTTCTAAGATCCTGGAACTGTGGATTCATGTATAATTAATTCCCCAATTCAGTTAGGATCAAGCTGTTTGAAAAATGAATATAATTTAGCATCGTTCCTGTCAGTTTACAGACAGACAGACTTGTTTATAGAAGTCTATGTGCGTTTAGAGCTACTGCTAGCATTAATGACTGCTGTTTAAAGACTCAAGTCCCCAATGCCACCTCTATGATTTATTTTCCTTTGGGGATTTAAAAAGCAGATGCTGTTGCTGAGATTTTTTAAAATGCTTTGATTACTAAAACATTTGCAGAAGCAATTTCTCTTCCAATTTTCAGGCAATTTCTTTAAGAAATCTCTAACATATTATGAAGATTGTAATACTTCATAGCCCTCACTCTTATTCTAGCATTTATATAGCTAGCTTGATATTTTCACCATCGGGATACAGCACCCTTCCATTTTTCAGTGGTATATTAGACAGTGTTTCAGATGTATCTATTTTTAATTCCAAAGCTGAACATCATTTTGTAAACAAATAGCTAGGCCTTGGGTCCTGATGCCCAAATTCCAAATTTATTTTCCAGGACAATCTTTCCCTATGTGGTACCTACGGTACCATTTGTGCTGGTTTTTAAATGCTATACATTTGCTCAATCTGGTTGAGAATTTTTGTTGAACACATCTAGAGGTTCTGCTTGGAAAGATTCTTCTAGAGTCCTAAATACATTTCACCAACATTTTTTTCCTCTAAGTTATATTGTTATATTATAGAAATTCTGTGGCCTTTATTGCTGCCAACTGATTTTAATCAGTTTAATTCCCACACTGGTATAATTTTTAGAGAGAAGACATGCTTGTGAAGCAGAGGATTAATTTTCACCCCAGTGTACTACTAAAATCTCTCCTCCAGCTTGGAAGTTAAGGAAAAAATGACTTCCACTTGTGTCAATGGCTGAAGAAAAATATTTATCCCAGATCTTAGAGACAGAGACAACATCTTTCAGTTCAGGCATCGAGGTCTTTATTGACAACTGTGCTGTGGGAGAAAGAAATGTAGAATCCTACTATCTAAGCATGGTAATATGGACCTTAAGTAAATGAGCTAGAACAGGGATGTCAAACTGCCAGCCCATAGACCAGATGCGCCACGCAGAAGCCGTGCCCGCTCCTGCTGCAGTAAGGGGGAAAAAGTCGTGATATGTTGTGACACATCACGTGACATGGCAAGTTTGACACCCCTGAGCTAGAACAAAACATCATAGAATTGAAACATACCAGAACAAGGCAGTTCAATAAGGAGCAGTGAATTTCTGTTATACTGCTGTCTATCCCATCTCATCTTCCTTGTCCTGCATCTTAATTTTTTTCTATTGAATATGAAGACTAATAAAGAACAAAGCTAGTGCTTTCTTAGCAGTCCTGAGTTTTCTTTAAATAGTATGAGTCTGATAGCAATTTTCAAAATCAGGAAAAGATTAACTTAGTGAAAATGAAGAATGTATTTTTATTACTTTCCTAGAAGATAATGTGATTTTAACATGGTATCCTTCTTTGTATGCCTAAGTAAATCTTGGGTTGTCTATGTGTACAGGAGAATAACTACTCTTAATCTCTCTCTATGTGTGTGTGTGTGTCTCTCTCTCTTCCTCCCGTCCCCTGTCCATAGAAATCTGGTGCTAACTGTAAAGCTTTATAGCCTGCTGTTCTAAACTCTAATATGTGAATGTGAGTTAGGTAAATGGGAAAATGTCACAAGTACGTGCTACAGTGAGAGATGCCTTCAAAAAGTATAAATGAAGAAGATGGAGAGCATTATTTTAACCAACCTGCCTTCTCTTCTCTCTTCTTAGGTTTCCTTTTATTGTATATGCTATGCAATCCATGCTCAGCCTTCCTCTTTTTTTTATTCCCAGAGACCTGCCTGATCTTTCTACCCTGTTCTCGTTCATAAGCTTCTGACTGTTCTTTTATTTATTTAGTTTTACTCATTTATAACATAAAATGTGAAAATACCAAAGCAAAAAATAGGGGACAACAGTAGAAAAAGGTGTGAAGAAGGGGGTGGGGGGAGAAACAAAAGGCATTGACTTCTGACTCTGTTGCAGTAAAATCAGACATTAAAATCAAATTTTTTTTATTGAAAATTTTTAAAAA